CGTGCCTGCGCTCGCTGCGACTCCTCGTCTTCGCCGTGTTCTCGGCCGCCGCGAGCAACTGGCTGTAAGTCGGGCTGGGGACCGGGCGGGGCGGGGCGGGCCCCGGGGCCGCGGGGCGCAGGGGGCTCCCGGCAGGTGTCTCGGCCACGGGGCCCTGAGGCTCGCGCTCCCGCCCGTACGTTCTGCTGGCCGCCACCACCGTCCGGGCTTCCCTCCGGGGGTCCCGGGACCCCTGCTAGCTGGCTCCGGCTTCCCCGCCCGGGGCAGCAGGGCTGGCAGCGCGTCTGCCCCGGAGGCTGCCCTGGGTGCTGGAAGAAAGCGAGTGGGTGCGTGCGAGCGCGGGGCGGTGGCCCCGGAGCGGTGCGAGGTGCGAGGCGCAAACCCACAGGCTGACAGGTCTCAGAGGAAGCCCACTGTGGGGAAGGCGTTTCGGGCATAATAGCACGTTGATCCCGAAGAGTCTGGGCGCGCGCTGCACCGCGCCGCGCCGCGGGCTGAGCTGGAGGCGTGCAGGGACCTGTTTCTGTTTGGGGGGCGGGAGCCAGACGGAGAAGTCGAGGGCCGGACGCCGAGCCTCTGAGAGCCCGCAGGCTGGCTCTGGCCGGACCTCGCTGATCCCTGAGACAAGAAGAAACTTCTCCCAACCTTTAATAAGGAAGGCGGCAGCCCCCATCCACCTCCAAGGGTCAAGAAGGAAGGGGGTGGTGACCACTGGTGACCTGAGTGTTTCTCCCTGACCAGGTCTGCGCTTGGGAGGATCCCTGGGAAGGAAAGCTAAGGAGATGAGCTAGTGACTAAGAGAACAAGGAACAAGACCCTAGGCTCCTTCATCCCTCCTCAGTGACACTTCCCTATGGCCCGGGCTTAACCCTGGCCCCAACTTCTCCTGTCCAGAGCTCTGCTGCCTTCCACTGTGGGCAGCCAGTGGGGAGCCAAGCTGCAGTATTGATCTGAAAAGCACGAGGTGGGAAAGGGGGTAGCCAACAGTGCAGCTGGGGTTTCCATGGAGACAGTGGGAAAGGAAAAATTCTCTCTGCATCAAGACCAAAGAACAAATATCTCCCATGAAATTGCCCTGAGTGTCCAATGGTTGTTGCTATGAGGTCATTGTGGCCAGCCAGGGACTTGTAGACTGGAAAGGAGTGTGTTCGTTGGGGTCAGAGCCACCAGGAGCTTAGGAGACTGAGGTGATGTGGAATTCTCCCAGCTGTTCCGAGAGCTAGAGACTCCGAGGCCCAAAGAGGCTTCTGAGCTTTTGTTTCTCCTGGAGTCTTAATTTGATGAACGCTTGAGGGGCAATGGCAGAGTGGACAGAAACCAGGGTGCTGCCACCACCCCCTTCCACTTCTTGTATGCTGTCCCCTCCCCCAGTGAGGCCTGGGTTGCAGACCTGAGGAAGGGAACTGCTTTGGACTGGGGTCTCTGGAGCTACCTCTTAAATAGACAGGCTTAGAGACCGGCTTCTGTAAAACAGGTCTGAGCATCAGGGGGAACCAGAAGTGGATCTGACCTGCCCCAGCACCAAGTATAAAAAAAAAAAAAAAAAAAAAAAAACTAAAGAAACAAGTAGGAACTGAAGTGTGTAAGCCAGGCCTGCAGCAAGCACAGAAACAGCTGCCCCAGAAGGGCCCTCCAGAGCTCCTGGCTCTTTAGCTCCCTTTATAGATGAGGAAACTGAGGCCCAGGGGAGGGAGCCAAGCACTGAACCTAGATGCTTTAATCTCCAGTCAATGATAATCTACTTCTTGCCTGAGGCTGTCCTGAAGTTGACCTGGTACACCCAGGTAGAACCGCCACCCACCTTCAGCCGTGTCCACCACGCCCTGGTCCCCAGCTAGGGAGGCTGCCCCTGCTTCGGGTCTTGCAAAGCATGGGGAATTCCAGAGCTCAGTGCTTGAGCCTTGAGCCTGCACCGTGGGGGGTGGGTGAGGAGGGGAGGCCTGGGGTTGGGGAGGTTGGCAAACCTGTTCTCTTGCAACTGTGATGGCTCCTGTTGCCATGCAGCCCTGCTCTAGACAACCCCGTGTGCTCCTGCTCCGCCAGGGCTTCAAGCCAGGGGTCCCTCGGCTCGGCTCAAAGAGAGAAAAGGAAGGGACTTCTCAGTTGCCTACCAAACTAGAGCCTCCGAAGGGAAAGAGGCCCCAGGGCACACACACACTTGTAACTAGGGTACTGCCTTGTACCTAAACACCTCCATCTTCACGCAGAAACAGGACTAGCCCCAGATAAACAGGTGCCACAACCTAGCCTCCCAGCAGCTCGGGTCTGGGTACAAGAACACAGGAGAAGGGGCAGCTGGAATGGGCAGGACAGTGTGCATGCTCCGTAGCAGAGTAGAGAGCCTCACCCTGGAGGCTGGAGAATAATGGCGTAACCATGCTCATTATCCACCGCCCTGTCTGAATCCTCACCACATTGGAACCCATTTTACAGATGAGAAGACGGAGGGCCACAGAGGTAACCCAGAGATACTTAGCTAGTAAATGGCAGAGCTATCCGACCCAAGTCAGCCTCCAGAAGCAACAGCTTTGGGTTGGCAGCTGTCCATTCAGGCATGGTGGTGGCACTGTGTCTTTCCAAGGGTGAGCCAAAGGCCATTGAGAGGGCTCAGCAGGTAAAGACACTTGCCAAGCCTGCCAGCCACCCTGAGTTCCATCCCTAGGACAGAATCGACTCCTGCAAAGTTGTCCTCTGACCACCACGCACCTGCACGTGCAGTTAAATAAATATTAAAAGTCTGGGTGGTGGTGGCAGTGGCACAAGCCTTTAATCCCAGCACTTAGGAGGCAGAGGCAGATGGATCTCTGAGTTTGAGGCCTGCCTGGTTTACAGAGCAAGTTCCAGAACTACACAGATAGGGTTACACAGAGAACCCTGTCTTGAAAACCATAAATAAATAAATAAATAAATAAATAAATAAATAAATAAATAAATAAA